CGTCAATCACGCAGTTCGGTGCGACGGGTGTGGCTCCCGTATGTTAGTCAGACCAGACCTAAACGCTCAACTATGTATGTTGCTTGCCATGCGATGGCTTCCGGTAGTGTGGACGTAAACCGTTACAGCGTTTTCCCGCGTCGTCGTATTCCTAAGGCGCACCCAGCAACAGCAGCAGAGTCGCCACATCTGCAGGAATCACACACATGCATGCACACCCACCGCACCTTAGCAACGAAAACTTGTATCCGCCAGGCATTCTCCCCAACTCGTCTCCAANGTCGCCACATCTGCAGGAATCACACACATGCATGCACACCCACCGCACCTTAGCAACGAAAACTTGTATCCGCCAGGCATTCTCCCCAACTCAACTCCAAGACTTGCAACACGTGCCCCTCGACGACGATATAATGTCGAATGTACCTATGATGTAACTGATGGCACGTGTAGGCGGGCATATATATGTAGACGTCCCTAAGTCTATGAGGTGACAAACTGGACGAGACACAGCAGCATTCGTTTTGGTGGTGGCGGAAGTTTTTCAACGGGCTATGTACATCAACACGCAAGCTTTTGTAGGTTGGTGGTAGTTGGTGTGAGCGAGGTAGGCATCCGCGTCGGTTGGACCTATGCGGATATTAGCAGGTACTGTGAGGACAAGGTTTTCTCATTAACTACCAGCTTCTTACCACCACCCTGCTCTCGGAACGCAAATATTGCAGGTTCGACAACTTCTCGAGCATGTTGGCGTCGAAGGCAGCGTTCTGGATGCTTGCGGGGAAAGGGGCGACGCTGTGAGCAGGGTGCTGGGAAATCATGGTTTGCGTGTCATGACGAACGACTTGAATGCTGCGTGAGTTGGCTGGTGGTTTTGATTCTTGGCAAGCCCGGAAAGTAAAGCCGCAGCGGTATGAGGTATCCTCCAGCCCTGATCCGCGAAGTATGCTGAGTCAATGCTGTCTCTGATTCCCGATAGAGGAGGAGGTTCGCCCGTAATTTTTTGGGCGCAGAAAGAGATCGTGCGGTCCCGTGCGCGAAGTGGCCAGGACGACCAGCACGCGGAAGGACAGTCTTTTGGATTATTGGCATATGCACACAAGACGTGGTAGTCGTGAAGTCTGACGCCAAAACAGCATGCGATTGCGTGCCTTGGTTTCTCGACCTGTTGCTAGAAATCGAACTCCGCACGCCCTACTATCCGTGCTCTGGTGCATCGTTTATATGCAAACTGGGGGCCGATTACCATCTCGACGCTGGGTCAGATGCCTTCCGCGAGGTGTTCACGGAGACGGCGGAGCGGCCGGCGTGGGTCGTCACGAGTCCACCCTACCGTCATGCATTCAGTATTTTGGTGCAAGCGTTGCGGGTGGCACGTGCAGGTGTAGCTTTCAANTTATATGCAAACTGGGGGCCGATTACCATCTCGACGCTGGGTCAGATGCCTTCCGCGAGGTGTTCACGGAGACGGCGGAGCGGCCGGCGTGGGTCGTCACGAGTCCACCCTACCGTCATGCATTCAGTATTTTGGTGCAAGCGTTGCGGGTGGCACGTGCAGGTGTAGCTTTCAAGCTGAGACTGTCATTCCTGGAACCAACTAAAACGCGTGGTGAATGGCTGAAAGCGAACCCACCCAGCGCGATTGTGGTTCTGCCCCGCGCGGTTTACCGCGGTAGGACGTGCCATTCGACGGAGGCTTGGGTAATTTGGCACATTGGTGCAAGTGCAAACATTCGACGGAAGCAGGCTATTTTTTTCTCATCGTCGTAACAACATGCGGTGATAGGAAATACGAATAGGCTGCAGAGTGGACGGTGATCCGTCGTGCGTTTTACATGTCCACAAGTCGACAGGTCTGTTGGGGGGTAGTGTACCGAGCGTGCCTCATGTATTTTATGGGATAACATTGTTCGCGCCTCCCCCTCCCCCCATTGTTTTTTGTGTTCTTTTAGTTTTCGAAGTCCACACGTCGATAGGTCTGATGGGGGTTACCGTGCCTAGTGTGTCCCGTTCATTTTACGCAATAACGTATTTTGCGGCCCCGTCCACCCGTTTTTTATTCTTCTTGTATTTCGGTACGGGGTTGGGCTATTTTTTTTTTCGAAGACAAGAGGCCTCAGGCCCTTGTTTATGGTTTCCAAATCTTTATCTTCCTTTTTTTCGACAAATGTTGACTTTTTCGACCTTTTGGGCAGTCTGCCTCCCGAACGAGTGCAAATCAGCTGTTCGACCTTTGAGAACAGTCACAGCTTTGGCTGAGATGTCTACAGATCGCCTACATGTTTCGCCAGGGTCCACGTTTGATTTTTTCAAGGTGCGCAATGTTCACGCAAGATTTTTCCAACACCAGCTTTTGGACAGATCTTGGCCCAAGATTTGCCTCGAGGTGGCCTTTCGGCCGAATCTTCAACATCTTGCTCTGCTGGAAAAAAACAAACGTGAACCCTGGCGAAACATGTAGGCGATCTGTAGACATCTTGGCCAAAGCTGTGACTGTTCTCAAGGTCGAACAGCTGATTCGCACTCGTTCGGGAGGCAGACTGCCCAAAAGGTCGAAAAAGTCAACGTTTGTCGAAAGAAAGGAAGATAAAAGATTTGGAAACCATAAACAAGGGCCTCAGCACGAATGCGAAGTACCCTGCAATAAGAATCAGAGGTACAATTGTCGCGTGTACCGGTTTACACTTGTGTTGCAGGGTCCCTGCGGGCGTTTTTCGATACTGTTTTTACCTCGTGAATGTGCGCATGTTCGTCCCATTCCCGATGTTTATTTTGTGTTGTTGTCCTTGTCTCTTCTTCCTTGTTTCATCTTGCTCCTAATCCCTTCTTGACCGTGTTCATCTCATTTTCATTTTTGAGTAACGATGCTTTCACAATATTCGCGTGTTATATGATTATTTCTTGTTCAAATTTTGGTTCCGTTGATTGATTTCTAGAAAGGTGTACCCCTTTGTTGGGGTTGGTAGCCTGTGATCACGGAAGGCGTCCGCGTCAGTTGGACCGGTACGAACAATACAGGGTGCTGAGCGGAGACCGGAACGTTTTGTTTTTAAAGATGAAGAGAACAACACTAAGTGTACACCCATATTGTTGACGTATGTGCCGGGGTCACACGGCAGGCATGTCACACATTATTTTATTTGGTCGGTAAAGTCTAAAGTTGGCTCAAGGGTTGAGTGCAGTGCAGCACCGTCAACAGTGAATGGGCGTCATTGTACGCTTGGAACCATACTCGTCTTTCAGCTGCCCAGTCCCGTCCACAGCCGCTGGCTGTTCCTCGGGTTGTTAACGTCCACGTATTTCTGGCATTAGGCTCCATGCCCCCATTCATTGTGTTCGAGCTCCTCGTGACGATGGGCGGTGTGCTCTTCTTGCACCCTGCATCCTTTCATTAGCCAGACACTCCCCGAACATGGCCCTGGCTACACATCCGTGTAAATGAACTTCAGGCAACGACATAATAGAGCTAATGTGAGAAACAACAATAGTGATCAATTGGTGGGTTGGGCCTCCAAGACTGTCCCCCCCCCCTCCCCCTACAGTATCCCCCATCAACCCAACGGGTTCGGGGCGAAACACACATACACCCCCCCAACAATGCAACCTCAACACCCAAGAAAAAAGCATGGAAGGATGTGCAGCTGCCCCATAATAGGGTTGAGGGAGCACCACCCTCCGCAAAGTCTGCTGCCCGCCAACCTTTCCCCCCCTGGTCGGTTATGGACGTTTGTTGAGAGGCCTGTAGGAAACACGAGAGGGCAAAAGGCGGTTCTTAGCGGCATGTATGCGCCGGCATGAACGATGACCCTCTGATTTGATGATGCCGGAGAACCGGCTGGAACACTGGAGTTTGGCTTTCGCAACACGTGCAAAAGTGTTTCATCGTTCAGACGATTTGAATTCATCAGTTGCAGGTCACGACAACAGGGTTGAGCGCGGCTGGCCACCCCGAAAAAATCGAAGTGTTGCTACACACCCTGGGCAGAATTGTCTTCTGGTAGCAAACAAAAGTAGACATCGACGTGGTGTTGCTGTTGACTTATCAACACAAACCGATGTAAAAAAAAAACAAAGGGGATTGGGTACAGGCGTCCCCACGTACCTATGCGTCCCAGCTCGCGTCGTCATCGAAAATGTGTCATGGTGTTCCATATCCTCTAGCGCCGAGTCGGGTCCGTCGCTCTCCGACAAGAATGACGTACACTCATCATCCTCCTCGTCCTCCTCTGCGCTGCCGTATTCTGCTCGTTGGGAGGACGTGTCCAAACCGACTGTTGTAGAACGGCTAAGGCGATCCACTTCTTCGAGGTGGCGGCCGAGCGGACGTACGCAAGTCTAAGAGTGTACTGCTGTTGAGATGCACAAAATAAATGATAAGAGCTTGCCAGAAGCAGTACAAAAAATGATGCCGTTCGGCACTGCCACTACGCGCTACTTTCATAAACATAAGAGTATAGCGCTTTCCCTATGTGCGTCTCGCAGTCATAATATTCTGCGTTCAACGAAGGGGTTACAGCAGTCGTTTGTCGTTGCGTAGATGCTTGACGTAAGATAACAGCCCCCTCCAACTTCTCTGCGCCGTGATTTGAAGCACACTGACTGTGATAGAGAGCCTAGCACATCATAGCCGGAGTTGAGTAAGGCGAGCTAGACACAACAGATGAACTCAAACACACGTGTCTTGTGTGTTTCCTCAATCCCGTAGCTCAAGGTATCCCAAAACAAGACCACGTCCACCACAGCGACAGCACTACTTGTACTACAAATAATGCTATCGATGTAGTCTACACATGACGTCTTCAAGCCTTTCCGAAGTAGACACCACCAGTGGAGTATGGCAGAATGCCGACATGTCCTCAGCCAGCAACGACGACACACGACACACAGAAGCACCCACGACGCAAGCCATACACTGCAAATAGGTAGACAACGTACGGGTCTGTTGCGCGGCGGTCCGGGATAGTTTGAATTTTGAAGGTTCTGCAACGTACAAGTTCGTCATGTGCTTTTCCGAGACCACATTTGGCAGCACCGATTGGTATTGGGCAACGCGCGCCACCCGACGCCTGGCGGCGGTACCAGACCTCGAGGAGGTTGAGGTGGCAACGAAAGGTTTGGGGAACTGGAAGGCGGTTGGCCCCGACCTCCTTGCCGCCGAACTGCTCAAGGTCTACGGCGACGACGAGCCCATTGTCTTGGAGCGCCTCCGTGCCATCTTCGTCGAAGTGTGCAATGGGGGAGAGATGCCGCAGGAGTGGAAGGATGCCATCATTAAGGTGTTGTACAAGAAGGGTGACCGGACGAACTGCAACAACTTCAGGGACATCTCGCTGCTCTCGCATGTAGGCAAAATACTCGCCAAGACCATCACCAACCGCCTGAGCACATTCTGCGAAGCCAACGAAATCCTCCCGGAGGAACAGTGCGGGTTCCGGCCTGGCCGATCCACGGTATGCATGCTGTTCGTTGTGCGCCGACTCCAGGAGCTGGGGCGGAGGAGGAGAATCCCGCTCTACATGTGCTTCATCGATCTGCAGAAGGCATATGACTCGGTGGACCGGGAGCTACTGTGGAAGGTGCTGGCCCGGGCCGGGATCCCCGGGGAGATGATCGCCGTCATCCGCAAGTTCCACGTCGGAATGCGGGCCCGGGTCCGCACGGACGATGGGGAGCTATCGGACTGGTTCCCGGTCACGCAGGGATT